TTGGGCCGGTGTTTGTTTTTTGGCACAAAACCTGAACGACTGCAGGTGCTGATAAGGTGCAGTCGCGGTATTTCAACATCTAACAATACAAAGACAACAAAGAAAATATTTTTTATGTGGCAGCGTTTCTATCAGCTCAACAAATATCAGCAAACACAAAACTCTTTATGTGCATTTTGTCTCAGTGTGATTTAAAGACTGCTGTAAAAATCCTCTGCAGGTTAGTGCAGGATAAGCAGGTAAGTTTACTGTTTACTGCATTGTATTATTACATTATTATTACATTACATTAATATAGCACAAGGTTCAGTTAGTTTAGCATAAAACATATATCGGTACTTCAGCTTTTAATGGAGTATTTCGTAACACTAGTTTCTGTCACCTTCTGTGTTGAGCTCATTGTTTTCTCTGCAGTGGCTGAGCTGAGTCCAAGTAGCTGTTGTTCCTCTGCTGCTCCGTCAGACTCTTCTCCTCCTGCTGATCAGCTGGGACACAAAACAGATCTTTGTTAGACTCCACACTGCACTGAAGTGTCTCATATGTTCATTTGAGAACACAAAGAACAAATATTTAGCTTCCCTGGGTGGGCAGCTTGGTTGAAATAAACACAAAAGGTTTGAGCACCGATACCAAATTTAGCAGTATGGCACACCAGTACCAGGAGAGCAATTCCTGTTTAAAGAATGTCCTGGCCAAAAACAAACACAAAACAATCAATGGAGCTGCAAAAACTAGTACAGTGTTTCCAAACCACTGTGCCATGGCACATACGTGTGCCGTGAGAAATGATCAGGTGTGCCGTACAAGATTATCCTGTCTGAGTGGGTGTAGAAATCTGAGCCATGATCTGAATAACCCTCATCACTCAGTCCACTCACACTTGGATTCTATACATGGATCAAGTCCACTGCACTACTTTCAAGTATTCTGAAACCTGTCCTCTAATGTGTGCCTTCCTCCTCTTTGTATTTACTCCTCCTCTCTGTCATTTATTCTAGCTGTCTTATTATTTATAATGTTTTCCAAGCACAGTTGGTATGGAGCACCCACAATTTAGCTGAATATGTACAATGAAAATAACAAAAACTATTCTATTGTATTCTATTCTATTTATCTTTGTTCCTCCATTTCAGTTTTGTTTGCAAACATGAAAATTATCTCACCCTCCAAAAAATTATGGAGCTTAAAAAAATCAGCAGTACTTCTAAATGTGATAAAATTAGAGCACAGATCCCCTCTTAGGGGCCGAGGCTGTATTTGTTTTAAAAATGCATCTCTGGTATCTCTGGCCTATCATTATTATTTTGCTAACAGTTAAGCAGACTCACTCGCTGAATACTGATCAGTATATATCATAATCTTTGAAATGATTCTAATAACAGGCCTCTCACAATGAGGCCAGTTTTTACAATCACATGCCCTGTGGGCCGACACAACTTTGCCCTGATAAGAAAAAGGCAGCTGTGTTTTAGCCTGGAATACATTTATTTTTATATTTCTCATAAATGTATTTTATTATAGCGCTTTTAATGCCAACATGTCAGAATTTTTGGAATTTAAGTTACCTTAAATGGATGAAGGGTGGTGCTAGCTAGCTTGGTTAGCTAGCTGCATTCAAAAACTGTGCAGGTGCCACAGAGATGCTAACTAGCGCTTAGTAACAAACCAAAAAAATAATAGAAACTCTGATTAGACTAAGCTCATTTTAAAGTTTTCTTCTAATAATAACACTGTTTTCTTCTCTGTGTTTCATTAGCATTTGTTGATATTTTCTTGTAAATTAGTTTATAGCAGCTTGACTTGATGTAGAGGCTTTTTCTTTCACAGGGTTCACAAATAACTGACAACAGAGACCGAGGAGAGCAACAGAAAACTTCACTCAGGAGCTAAACTCAAGATTGACCGAACTCACATCGAAGTTACCTTAGTGCTTCTCTTTAGATGAGCCAGAACAATAAACTAAACACAAACAAGCGGGAACTGTGTGGCTTCTTCTTCTTCTTTTGGGTTTTTCTTTGGCGGTTAAAGCTTTAAGGTGGGTTACCGCCACCTGCTGGACTAGATGGTTAATATCCTAAATGTCATCATTCCTTTTTTATGTCTTAAACTAATTGAGTCTCATTCTTTGTGAACTAAAACTAGAGATTTAAAGGCATTTTAGTAAACAATAAATACTAAGACAAAATGTGTCACTGTGTTATATTCATTAACATAAACATCAGATGTCTTCAGCTTACCATTAGCTCCATTTCTTTAAGAGGTTTTGCTTCCTGCAGGCCACCACAGTATTCAAGAATGTGTTGTTTTGCCTGATTTCATAACGGTTACACTGACTCACTGCTCTATCATCAGATCCAAGTGTGACATTAGCCATAATTTCCCAGGAGGGGACTTTGACGACCGTGGCTCAGGGAGTTGGGAAGCGCATCTGCAACCAGAAGGTTGTCCTGGTCGTTGTGTCCTTGGGCAAGACACTTTACCCGTTGCCTCCTGGTGGTGGTCAGAGGGGCCCGGTGGCACCAGTGTCCTGCAGCCTCGCCTCTTTCAGGGTGCCTGTGGCTACAATGTAGCTTGCCTTCACCAGTGGGTGGATGACTAAATGTGTATAAATGCTTTGGGGTCCTTAGGGACTAGTCAAGTTATACAAATACAGGACATTTACCATTTTCATCGACGCACCTGAGCGGAACCCGCAATCACGCCTCGCCTCCTTAACGTCTGTGCCATCTATGCTGTTGTGTTGTTGTTGGTATATGTCGGGCTGTGAGCTGAAAAGCTACAGCTGACTGTATGCGTACAGCAATGTGTGTGAAAAGTGGTCAATAAAGAGATGCTGAAAAGCATGTTCATGGAAACATCCTCGGGTCTGCCGTGATATGTTTACAATGGCACTTCTGCTCCTGAACCTCTGTGCACAGCGTCTGCAAATCAGAGCTGAACAAAGTCACTTTCATCTTTATGCAGGACTGTAAACTGTCATCTGTGAGGCGTGAGCGGTGTTTGTTTTTAACATAGTTCACGGTGCTGCTGACATAATGTGGATCTGAAGATCCATAATTGGCCTAGCTGGGGTTGAAAGTCTCGTTTCAGCAAGCATACAGGCTTCCGCGAGTGTGACGCTTATTTTGAACGATGAAAAAGTAATAAAATAAGTTTATTTTTATATTTCAGTGTCACAATAATCTTCCAATTTAGAACTACAAGTTGAAAAAAAGAACTAACATAAGTAAAATACAGTTCAGCTAAATCCTTATACTTTATTTTCCCAAACCACGCGGAGCCGCAGGTTGCCGACCCCTGTTCTAGAGTAATGATTCTTGCTTCAGGTGTGAGAGGTCCCGGGTTCAACTCCCGGACGAGCCCATGTGGTGTTATATAAACTCTATGAACATTAGATCTTACATATTTCTTGGTCAGGTGCCATTTGAACCACATTCAACTCTTTAACAATAAGTCTGCACCTGCTTTGTGGAGGCAACTAATTGATTTGATAAGAACTTTCCAAAAATCTCATCCAATTAATTCTCCTTTACAGATTATATAACTGTCACTTTTTACAATAAGAATTCTCCAACAAACTTTTGGAAGAAAATTATTTTTCTTTCATTTGTTTTGACCCCAAACTAACCAAATGTAAGGCTTTTTTTCATCAGCACAATAGTTTTCAATTTCACGTTGGTCTATATTCCCCACATCCTGTTATGTCCTTATTCTCTTTGGGAATCACAGATATGAATATAATCAATTGATTAATTAACCATTGAATTCCACTGATGTGTTCATCCACAGCCTCAGGTCTTTGTTACTGTTGGAGGTGCTGGATGACCCGGTTCTTCTGGATCCATCTGTGTCTGCCGCTGGCTCCTGGGGGCCATTATTGCAGCTTCCCACCCTCATCATCAAGTACAATGGCGACAAAGAAACACACATACTCTCTCTCTCCAACAGACACACCACAAGATGATTGCTGGTTTATGTATCTGTGGATCTTCATGTGCAGCAGTTCTTTGTAAAATAACAAAAAAACAATAAATCAGCAGACGTAGTGAGGCGTAGACTGTGACAACACGAGCTTGACACGGGGTCTCATACTGTGATTGTGAATATAGGGGATTGTAGCTCAAGTTAACGTGGAAAGATAGACGTCTAAGGTCTCTAAAACATTTGGATGTTCAGTAGGGATGGGTATTGATAAGATTTTCACGATTCAGTTTCAGATTGTAAATGTAAAATAAAATAAATATTCTTCTGTAGCAATAACAAAGTATAACATAAATTATTCTGTAGCAATTACACAAGAATATCCAGTAATGTCCCTGCCTACAATTACACACATTCACTTACCAAAAATCGGGGGCATCTGCTGTGGCAAATGGGTGCAAGGCTTTTACCACAAACTTAGTCACTGCTCGGTGACATTAGTCTATCCTGGCCTGAAAGGAGACGCTACCGGTAGACTGCAGCGAGAACTGCCAGCATCTGAGCCAGCCAGACTCTGTCTGTCTCTCTCATCATGGTCACCTAAATGCACAGTAATGGCAGGTTTTGTAATAAGGCAGATCGCGCTAACATAATATGCACTGTTAGTTGATTATTTACCTGCCGCATTAACGGGAGAGGACGTGTAAACATTACCGCTGCTGCTGGGTTGAGATTCACGAGTCCGGAGCGGAATTAAAAACACGACATTCATTTAAGGTCATCGCGTGTTTTGTGAGCAAATGCTTTTGCATATTCGTAGTGTTTCCTCCCTTAAATGAAATATCTACTTGGCAAGTATTGCAAGTTGCCTTGTTGTCATCCGTTCTCGTAAAGTATAATCAAACTTTTTAGCGTTTGAGCCGCCATGTTTCCTGCCAGGTAAATGACGCTCCGCAACGTGGTGACGTCATTCGGGGCGACTGGAATCGATAAGGGAATCGTTTGCAAAAATGGCAAACAATTGAAACAGTGGGAACCGGTTCTCAACAAGAACCAGTTTTTGATACCCATCCCTAATGTTCAATCTCTGAAGAAGGTTTGGAGACATGTAGAAAATTCAGTTTTGAATAGGTGAAACAAATATTTTATTTATAGTTTCTCATACACAAGGCAGATAATATTCTTTATGTATATTATTTTTTACAAATACTGGAAGCTACAACCTGAAATAAAACACATTTTCATTAATTCATCTCTTATTATATAGAAAACTTCGATGATGTTCTGTCTCCCAGTAGGTATTTTGGATCGAACAAACTGTATTTAAAATAGCCAGATTAGACTGAATTCAAATATTTCTAATCAAACGGTTAAAAATAAAGGGCCAAAAGTTCACCCCAATTGGAGACTGATATGTTGAGCTACATGAAGACAAGAAGATTAAAACTTAATACAAAAAAAGCTGATATACATTAAAATATTTGTAATTAAAGGAACATTAGCTGCTGTCAAGGCTCTAATTTGCTCCTTCAAAACTTGTGTTGTCAACTCTGGAGTTGTTTACATTCATACCAGTGTTTAAAACAACAGGGTTGAATTCATAATGTCCGTTGCCTGGTGGCATCGACCAGCCAAACATCTGGTATATGAATTTGTTAAAACTCAGTAATCTGGTGCAGTGTCTACACCTGCCAACTACAAAGAAGCATGAAGCCTGTCATGAAGTCAAGCTTCTTGTTCAAAGCCTTTACGTGCTTCCTCCAGGACACTGATATGGTTAGCAGATGTAGTTCAGAGGAAAGAAAAGAATTCCTACAAGGTCAGTAGATCTGTAACACAGTCTGGATTTCTTTAGGATGGAAACATTACTTTTCAGAGACACGGAGCTCAGAGAAAACTACAAAAGTGGGTTGTCCATACCAAAATAATCTAGATGGATAAACTGCACCAAAGGCAAGAGGAGAAAATATTGGCACAGCACTGTGCAATATTTAACTTCTACAACTTCAGCTACACCAACACAAGGGAGGAAGTGGCCTTTCTTTACTCCCCCACCCTCTTTAACTGACCACATGGGTCAGAATATTTACTGTTATGCTTTGGCACTAGTCACAGGCATTTTGGCTGCATTCCTACAATTTGCCACCAGATTTCACTTGAACATTGCTCACTGGGCAACAATGCTGAGTACATAACTGTTGAGATTCTGAGAGATTCAGATTGATGAAAGCCACCTGAGTCTTCCAGTCTGCCATTTTTGCAGCTTCACAGACTAAAAAAGACAAAACTGGTTTAAGCATCTCTGCTGGAGCAGGTGGTTTGTTGCTGAGGATTCGAAGCATCTGTTTGAACCATCCTGTTTTGCAGCATCAACAACCACACTGATGTCAGCTCAGTGAGAGTTGAAGACATGATAACCAGTCATGGGTTCATAAACTGCATTAGGATGTACCTGTTCCACTTCACCCACTGAACCCAGGAGAGTAGGCACTGGAAAATCTCTTCTCCTGACCAGAGTCTGTGACTGTAGAGCAGCTCTTGGTGAGGGTGTGTGCCTTACTTGTGAGGTGCTGTGGAGAGAAACAAAGAAATTGACCAAAAAAAAAAGTAGGCTTTAAGAAAACAACCCTCCCAAAACCAATGTGAATATAGACTGCTCCAAAAAAAAAAAAAAAAAAAAAGGTAACACAAAAAGATGAGACCCCAGATGTGAATTATTAAAATGTTCTTTTTAAATACTTTGTTCTTTACATAGAACAACAAAATCACAAAAAATCATCAATGGAAAGAGACATCAGTGTAATGCTTTAAGAATTTCTACCAGGTCCTTGCAGGGAGAGCTGAAGCTCTCTTTTAAAGACCTGTTGGTCAATCTCAACACATTCTTGACCAAACCAGTGACTGCTGAGGGCCTTTTTAACTGAGGTCAGAGTGAGTGCAATGTTCAGGCAATCTGAGTCCACGAGGGCCAGTGTCCCTGCAGGTTTTAGATCTCACCTTGGGTCAACACACCTGAATCTCATGATTAGTTCATTACCAGGCCTCTGGAGAACTTCAGGACATGTTGAGGAGCTAATTTAGCCATTTAAATCAGCTGTGTTGGTTCAAGGACACATCTAAAACCTGCAGGGACACCGGGTGGACTGAGATTGTCCACCCCTGCTCTGCACCCAACCATCTGCTTCATGCTTCCCAACAGCTTAAACCAGTTTCTTCAAACTGGACTCCCTGTTCAACTGTGGTGGGAGAAAGCAGTGTCAAGATTTCAGTACAAACAAAATCATCTGTGCCCACGCTTATTCAATCCTACTGCAGACAAACAGCTAGTGATGGCCCGCTTGAAGCTGACCCTCCGGTGCGTGTGTCAAAAAAAAAAAAATCAACACACTGCTTCAGAAGCACTGTGTCGAAGCTTGATTCGTTTGGCCAGAGTCACGTGATCAGTGACGCTCGAAGCTTCATTTAGAACCTAACTGCTTCGGTATCTGATTCAATGGTTTAAAAGGAAGCGAATCATTCGCGGGATTTGTGGACTGTTTTGATGGCGACAGATAGCAAACCACTGATATTTTTACTGAGAGATTTGGAGCCAGCGAGGAATAGAGGAGTTTCTGTTGTGTGGGAGTGTTTTGAGTTGATTTTGATCAATCGGGTGGGTTTTCCAGCTTTGTGTTCTTGTTGTTTGCTTTTGTTTTGTGCATGTTTGTTTTATCTGACAACAGGAAAAACTTAAAATGTCAAAATCTGCTTTTCATAATATAAATATCATTAAATAACTTTAGAAAGACTTCTATTTGACTCTTTATATTTAATGTTATAAAAATATATATTTTATGTTTTAAATAATCTTAAACTGTTAGTCTGCAAAATGTGCAGCAATTTAATTTATTTATTCTCTTTAGCTGATAGTTTGTGGGGCCCAGTTAGACTGTATAACATTCTTTAAATCGTTATCAATAAAAGAAAACTAAAGGAAACACATCTAAAGCAAAGCACGCAAGAGAACCAAAAACTCAGCAATCCTCTCTGCTCCAACTGACACTGCATGAACAGGTGCCTAAAATAAGCAATCAATACCACCCAAATCACATGACCCACCACAAACTATCACAAAATACTTTCAATACAAACCTCTTAAACATAACCATCAAAAACCACACAGTTAACAACAGCATGCAATCTGTATATTAAGTTAAGGCTTACTGGGCTTAAGCCCGGGTTGTTTTTTCAGAAGCCCGGGGTCTTTTGGAGTGTAATTTTTTCATAGTTAGATGCCTGGCTGACAACTGTATAAAACAAAACTACACACAATATTCGAAGCACATAGTGCACACTGTGGGAATTCACAACTGTGCGTAAATCCCCCCCCTAATATTGGTATGATCCGAGCTCAGGCACTAAGCACTGAGCGAGGGGGCGGGGCAGCTGCTGCCTGCGAGTGCGCTGTTGGAGAAACGGAGCCAGGCAGACACAGTGTTGCCAACTTAGCGACTTTGTCGCTATATTTAGCGAGTTTTCAGACCCCTTAGCGACTTTATTTCTAAAAAAAGTCGCTTAAAAAAGACGTGAAAGCGCGTATCGCTTTTACTCTCAACAAGCAGCGGGTGCTGTAACACAGTCAGTTCTTCTTTTACTCTTATGCTGTTTTGTGGATCACAAGGTTTAAAACTACTTATAAACACACACACAAAGTAACTCCACCAGAGGGCCTATTTCGGGTCACTTTTGCCAGTCCAAGCCCGGGTAAAGGAGCAGGGTTGGAATTGTGACATTAAAAAAAACAATAATTGCTAAAAGAAATTTAATTTGTAGTTCTAAATAAACTCTAAATGCATTTAGGACGTTTTTTACTCACTTTATGTCTCTTCCACGATGTTATTTCTCTCTCCAACAACATAGGTTACAATTAGATTAGCATGACCAATTATGCAAATTAGGCGATGACGTCATTTAGCGACTTCTAGCGACTTTTAGGACAACCAATAGCAATTTTCCTTACTGAGGAGTTGGCAACACTGGGCAGACAGAGGAGAACTGAAGTTTGACCAGGTACCAAAGCAAATCATTCCTACTGTACAAATAATGTAAATATGACGGTGCATCACGAAAGATTGATATCAAACTGATCACGTGACCCATATTACGTTACTTGTTCTTCAAGTGAATCAACAAATGGCGAAATGAAAAGCCGAACAACAACAATGCTGTTTCTTTAGAGAGTCTTAGCTTACATGTGTGTTTATTTCATATTTTCAGTTGTTACCCTCCACTGCTAAATAAATCGGTTTCAGTAATGTACTGATATAGAAGAATGGACATAAGGGGCTTCTTTCAAAGAAAAAACTCTGGTAGATGTTATTTTATATATTATGCTTTGTATGTTGTTCAGTATATTTCTATGCAAGACAAGAGGAACTTCAATACACAGCAGTATATTCACAGTTTAAACCAGATATTTACATACACTTTATGGAAAACACAAGAACATTTTTTTTACTGTTAAACATCAATTTAAAGTAAACTTGTTTTGTTTTGGATAAATAAATATTGAAATATCTTTTGAATTAGTTAAACGTCAGAATAAAGAGAGACAGAGCTGTCTATTTTTTATCACTTTCATCAAATTTAGGAGTACATATACACTAAGTTTATTGTTAATTAATAAGAAAACTCCAGATGTTTCCATTCTGAGCTGAAGAAGCTTCTGATAGGTTAGTAGAGTCCATGTGAGTAAACTGGTGGCACACCTGTGGATGCATATAAGGCAAAACACAGAGCCTGTTTCTTTTAAATGGGAAAATCAAGAGATGTCAACCAAAACACCATGAAGAGAACTGGAGCTCCGTAAGTGTGGCTCAATTTTGAATACAATTTGGTGCCATTTGCAATTAAGAAATACAGATAGTTTCTCTCTTTACTCTTAAAGTTAACAAATATGTTTTTATATTTATCAATTAAAAAAATAAACATTTAGTCTGATTTGATGTTACAATTAAAAAAAGTGTTTGTGTTTTTATCTGAAGAGTGTGTAAATATCTGGTTTCAACTCTATATTTGATGATGTTGGTGTTTGGCTTGATTGTCAGCATAAAGAGGGAGAGAGAGGAACAGAGAGGGAACAAGAGCTATGGAACGCCAGGACTGCCATAATGAATTAATTAAATACACCATTAAATAATTAATTAAATGTGGCAATAATTAAATAAAATTGGAATTAATTAGTTAAATAAATAGGTATGACACATGTGCCAATTAATTAATTAATTACATTTAATTATTTATTTAATGATATATTTAATTAATTATTTATGTATTTCACATTTTAATTAAGTATTGACACATTTCATTAATTATTTAATGATATATTTATTTATTTCATTTTGGCAGTCCTGGCGCCTGGCTCTCATCTTGAATTAATTTTATCTGTCAGCCTCACCCATCAAACTCAGGGGGCGGGGTTAATTAGTTTTAAAATACCCCGTTTTTCTGTCACCAACTACACTTTTAACAGTGTTTTAGCCGCGAATGTCGCACCGTAATCTTCACATGTCTGGTCAGGTTGTCAATATAGAACATGTTTGCAAAAGTGCTCAGATGTTTTCAGAGATTTCACTAGCTCTGCTAACAATTAGCATGCCGAGTGCACCCAGGGGGTACGTTAACCGGTTTGTTTACATATTCCACTCTCCGTGTTCCACATGTTGCATTCGCAGATTCTCATTTTCACCGAACGAACGTCTCTTTCCGCCTGGTCTTGTGTCTCTGTGCTTCTGTAACATAAAGAACGAGCTGACATTTTTCTCACGAAACCAGCGATCAGCTCAACAGACCCTCAGTTTACCTGCATGCATCCTCCTCCTCATCTGTCAGCTGTTTAACACCTGCTGCTAATTCAAGAAACATGCCTAGTTACCTGGTGATAGTCACAGTTTAACTGGGCAGCCGGTGCTCGATATAACACAATGTCAGCGCATTTTTCTGCACAAGATAAGGAAATATAGTGTTTTCCCCGAGCGCAGAGCTGCTGGAGCTTGTTTCCTTACAGAGCACTTTATAGGCAAACCAGCTTCATCAGCGGCTGATGTCCAATCACCGGCACACAGCTTTGAAACCTCGCCTGAGTTTTAGCTCTCAGTGGTTAAACGCTGGACTTAATTCACTCAGGTTCTGTCAGTCGGGTCACGTTTACTTCGCTGTTTTATTTACAACTGAGCAAATCGGTTTGGCTGAGGTTAAAGTTATGTTTCATAACTGCATAGTTTCACAGACGTTTAATGGTTCACTGGCACATGTGTTAGACTGAACTATTCGCTTTTCTTTATCTGGTGTGTTTTGGATTTAACAGTGAATCTTGAGAGTAAACTAACTTTTAAAATGTTTTAAAGAAAGAGAAGAGAAGGCGCATTTCCACCGAGAGGAGTTTGCAACAGCGTGTTCATCATGAAGACTGCAACCTGGACAGAAATATTATATCATCTGTTTTTTAATAGTTATTCAACTGTATTCTAAGCACCAGCTGCCTGTTAGAATATTTCGAGTTTACTTAAATAAAAATAAATGAAGTTAACAT